TGTTCTGTCACACGTGATAACTGTATTCTTTTCAAATGAGACGTTTGCGCGCCTAGCTTGAGAATAATAGGGAGTTTTCGTAGACCGCGCTGCCCCCTCCGCTAAGCGTTCCGCAACGAAGATGTTGCTACTGCGCCTGCGCGCCGATAGCCTTGACTGTGGAGTTCCCGCTATCGTAGCGGGTTGCGGAGGGCCTTGCGGGACGGCGAAAACGATCTACGAAAACTCCCTATTAAGGAGTCTTACGGAACCGTTCTTTGGACTTCCGATACCGGCGATACGGTACGACGGGACCTGCGGTACGCGCTGCACATGGGCGACTCTTCTGCGGTGGCGCATGCGCAGTGCGTACCGGAGGGCCCATCGTACCGTGTGAGATGTGCAAAAACGGTTCTCTAAAACTCACTGCTATCTGAGACATCACCGTGACTGCAGTCTACGATGTGTTAAAAATAAGATAACTGTTTTCTTTTTTTTTTTTTTTTTGGAGCACGAGGAGGACAAATTATTTAATCTATGGATCACTTACCATGATTTACGAGGCTCAGAAAAAAGGCCTTGCTCAAAAACACAATGTCGGCATTAATATTAGGAGTTACATATAGTATGATCATTGTCCTCGGGTAGATCCCATGTAAGAAACTAAATTTATCACGCAGGTTTTGTAGTGAGTAACTGATGTTTACTGAAGCTAACTTTTATTTAGCCTTGAAAAGTGAAGCATGCCACGGCGGCCACGGTGGAACAGAGTTGGCCGGCAGCCGAAAACACATCAGAGCCGTATACTATGTAGAGAGTCTGGTCATTGATTGGTAGGAATATGGCGAACATAAGGGAACGCCATTGGCCGAAATTGTTTCATTAACCTTGGGCGCAATGATTGACAGCTCCCTTGACCAACCACTATAGCCATATTGTTTTCATGGCAGAGGCAATGAGCTTACCAAATACCCTCCGATCACAATTTCTAGTTAAGGATGTTTGAAGTATTTCATTTCAGCACGCTAGAGTTGAAGTTTGTGACTTTTCGTGACCAAAAGGGCAGCGCACGTGCCGTTGTCATCATGACGACATTGAGAACGCACGCAAACTTTCCTTTGAAAGCACTCGCGGTCGCGGCCACGACGGAGTGGCCAAATAAAACCGCAGATTCAGCTCCGTGGGAGTTTTGACCCAAGCCATGAACGTGCAAACCACATTCGCAGTGTCGCCTCATGTTTCAGGGAAAGGTTTTCGTCAATGTCACCTTTCCTGGCTCAGTTAACACACTCAGCACCTTGAAACCCCCTTTTCCACCCATCTCTTATGATTATACATTGATGTACTTTCAGCCTCCTCCAGAAACAAAAACAGATACCTGCGCCTCGTTACACGAATCCTTCAAGGTCATCCCAGCGCATTCTTACTTTGCAAGCTCATCACAGGGGGAATATACGGCGCTGGCGGCACCGCCGCTTTCGCCGCACCACCCCGGCTTCCGCCGGCTCTTTCCATTGACCAGACTCTCTGTATACACGGCTGTGAAACACCTAAACTGCTAGCTCGGCCTGCCACTCAACGCAAGTGTGAAAAATAAAAAAAAAATAAAAAAATAATATTAACCATAGAAACCAAAAAAAAAAAGAATGCAGAAAAGGCAGGACAGGAAACTCCGAGACGATTCGAGAAGTCTTCGCCAGCTGCGATAGCTCTGAAAACAGCAACACAAAGAAAGGACAGAAAAGGAAAGCGTACAAAAAAGAGCGTGCAGCTACGCCAGACACGGCGTCGCGTTCCTGGAAGAGTGAAAATGGAGATAGCGACCGCTGCGTTCCTTATAGAACACAATTTTTGTATAAATAAATATAATATTACAGTTTGATCGATAGATTGAAATGCAAAAGCAAATTGTATTTTATATATTCAAACCGTTCTCTATCGGCTCGAAAGTTTCTGGATGGGCTAAGTAAATTGTTGCAATGAACCAATCATAGAGTTATTTAATGTACGCTAGAGGTTCAACTGGCGCTAGTGTGCTGCTGAAAATTGAAGCAGACAACAACCAGTCGGAAATTTACTTTCGGTAATGCATTTCTATGGGAAAACGCGAGTGCATTTTCTCTCTGCGCTCGATTATAAGAGCACATATCACGAATAATTCGTACGTACTAGGCACATTGAAACATATCTCAGTCACGGAGACGAAATAATTAGTCACTTACGGCGTTTTTATTTTAAATTATTGGCATGAAAAACGGTGCTAAAACCGCTGCCTACTTGTATTTATGTGCACTGTTGGGCACTGTTAGCGCGAACACGGCATCGGCGCTTTCCAGCATGGGGGATATACGTGCCAAAGCAACGAAGGACACGTGGAAACCCAATAGAGACGGCAAGAACTACTCAGTAAAACTCTACAAGTAACTCCTTGTGCATGCAGACGATAAAAATAAATGGAAAGCCACGTAATATAGTCCGATTTGCAATAATTAAGTACTGCGTTATTCTATCTGCTCATGAATATGTGCGACGATGCTTGTTGGGTTCAAATCATCACCCGCACGCTCCAAATATTTGCAAATAGGGAGAAACCAGACGCTTATGGTATGAATGTCCAACGAGACTGAATGTCCAACGAGCCTGAATGTCCAATCGGTCACGTGACAGGCGAGACGGAATGTCCAACGAGACGAAAGGTCCAATCAAGACGGAATGTCCAACGTGCCTGAATATCCAACGAGACGGAAGATCCAACCGAGACGGAATGTCCAACGAGCCTGAATGTCCATCGAGTCTGAATATCCAACGGATATGGAATGAACCGTGCATAAAATTTAGAAGATATTTTTTTCTTCGAATAATAGGATTACTGAAAGTTACGGCGGTGAAAAATGCGTTCGATGGAATGGGGAACCGGACGTTTGGTACGTGGTAGTTTTGGTACGTGGTAGTTTTGCCACCAGGCTTTTCAGTACCGGGCTTTTGATGCACGGCTATTTTGGTGTGCCGCTGAGATTGTCCCACTGACGTTGCCTCTGTGAAGTCCCCTAAATAGAAGTAAAAATTATGCTCGTGTATATTATAGACTTCATAAAAAAAAAAAAAAAAACATTTATTGTTCGTTTTATATATATAAATATAAAGATAATTTTTATAATTAAAAAATCACGTGGAAAAGGTCACACATGCTACAAGATCAAAGACCGAACTCGTATACCAGTGACAATCGGTCACGCGTTTGCTTTTTAGAAGGTCGTAACTCTGGCGCGGAAACAAATGTGGGGTCCACGAGAGTTCTGAGAATCGTTAATCGCGCTTATCCCCAGTCAGTCTACTTTCCGTATTGTACGAGTTGCTGTATTTTTTTTTTATTGGTGTCCTAGCTAGTAACGCAAAGCTGATGTCCCACTTGGGGAAAAAAAATCTTCTGATTAAATTGTTAGTATTATTGTTAGGTGAAGTCGGTGCAGTATGTATAATTTCGCTAAAGTTTCTTTTTTTTTTTTTTTTTTACAGAACGATGGTGAAGGTTTTAGGCATTTTTGATTGGACTTCTCGGTCCCCAAAAACAAAAATTCGATCCTCATATTAAAACCAATGAGAAAATGCAACGTTCCTTCCATTAAGCCTTTGTGCAGGTGATGGTGAGCTTTTGTCCGGTGATTATCCGGAGGATCCGGCACATTGACGCTTATCGCGACGATTAGTTTCGCATGCTTCGGCCACCAAAGCGGTTGCTATCGCAGTGAACAATGTGTAGAGCCACAAGTAGGCACTTTCAATAATTATTACAATACTTTTTAGGACAGCTCCAGCTCTGCCGTTTCTGGTCACGTGGCATGCGGCAATCGTACCGATACGCGCCCAGGTAGCATACCAAGGCTGCGATCGGATTTCAACTGGTCGTAACTTTGTCAAAGAGCCGCTGCGACAGTGCGACTGCGATTCATTCATATGCGCAGATAACAAGTGCACAGGTGACCACAGGCTCAGGAGGTCAGCCGCTCGCTCGGTCTTCCCAAATCCCATCATGCTAGAGTCGCGAGTGTACATATTCACGTAGAACCCGGCTTCTATCATTTTGAACGACCCGGGTACGATGATTTACTATCGAACCCTTGTAAGTTCTGAAAACTGCATTTGTGATCCTCTCTTTTTTAGAAAGAGGGTCTCAATGTTGACCCCCACTGTCCCTGGCTCGTTTCGACACTTCGACAAACGGGCACTTTCGCCCGAATTTTTATTCTGCGGATTCGCCTAGGGCAAATTGCCCTATTTAACGAATTGTCCTTCTTCCAGCTGTCCAGAGACCAATGAAATTACGACGAACTGAGCGGCTTCGCGGTGCAATACGCTTCCCATACAAGAATAGAAAGCCACGTGGAACGATCTTTTGTTATATTCACACAGGATGCAGGCTATTGGTACATCCGGGTGTGAACCTTCTGCTGCACGCCGAGATGGATGCGTTTGAGTTCTTTATCACCAGTCAAGCTCCCACGTACCAAGACGTCATCAACTACCTCGACAGGATCGGGAGCTTCGCAGTGCTTCCAGAAGCGAGTTAAATTACATGGGCTTCTGAGAGCCACTGTGCATGTCCCATGCAAAAAAAAAAAAAAAATGTGTACTGCGTGATACTATAGTATCACGCAGTACACAATTTTTTTTTTTTTATGGCACAGACCAGGAGAGAGAACACTATAGTATGGCACAGACCAGGAGAGAGAACACTATAGTGTTCTCTCTCCTGGTCTGTGCCATACTAACCTACTGACAGGGAATGCATGTTTATGTAAACTATACTGGCAACTGCAGTGTATAGTGAGTAGTTGTCTGTTCTAAAGATAAACGAACAAAAATAAAAATTTGTTAAATTCACACAATTGTTTTGACATTTACTCATGGGTTGTCGTGTCCCCCCCCCTAACCCCCACCCCCTCCCCCCGGTGTATTTATAGGCGAGTTAGACGCAAATGTTTTTTTCATTTTAAAGAGAAGATATATTTTTTAGGGAAAATACGCTTGTGGCAAACTGCTGATGCGATCGCCCCACGCAGCTGCTAAAGCTTTATTCACAAATTTCAATATTGACTGTGCGCATAGTCAGTGGCGCTGACGGGCGGTCCTGTGTTATCTATAGATCGAAACGGGCAGGGATGAGGACTGAACTAGAAATTCCTGGGATCTGAAGCGCGGCTTTCATAGATATCCCCCAATTGCGATGCACTAGAACACACGGACACTGCATCCCTATTATATATTTCAAATTGGCTGACTTATGTCATCAAAACATTCGAAACATTTGAGCTGCCAATATCAAAGGAGCGTTTGGCGTCGTACAATCGTCACCTTTAACCGATTGGGACATAGCTACGCATAGGCACTTAGCTAAATAGCCATCATGCCTTCCTATAGATGAAATTAAAATATTTGTGTCTGCTCTATGTTTCTCTGTCGGTCTGTCAACATCACATTCAGTAGCACGAAATTTTAGTATCGACAATACGGCAATGCTTGCAAGAAGGCGGTTTAAATATACACACAAGTCTGTATATTTAACAAGGCAAATTATTCTAGCACGTCATAGGCGAGACGGAATGTGCAACGTGCCTGAATGTCCAACGAGACGAAAGATCCAATCGAGACGGAATGTCCAACGTGCCTGAACATCCATCGAGACGAAAGATCCAACCGAGACTGAATGTCCAACGAGCCTGAAGGTCCAACGAGACGGAAGGTCCAATCGAGACGGAATGTCCAACGCGCCTGAATGTCCAACCCGCCTGAATATCCATTATTGGGTCTTCCGTCTCGTTGGACATTCAGGCTCGTTGGACATTCCGTCTCGTAATCGAAACCAGAGAACAGGTGCTTGATAAAAACTGCCCGACATAGGAAATAGTAAAAATACACACCTTTCGTAGCTCACATACTTTAATTTTATGTTCGAATGTTTTTTTAACCGATCGTAAAGATGCACGATAGTGACAGGACGGGCATATTGCAATATATAAGCGCCGCCGGAATGCTAGCGAACCTTGAACACACTCTACATTCCTTTCGATGGTTATTTTGCTTAGAATCATCGCTCCTTCTTACATACCTGCCATGGTACAGAGGTTTGGGCCTGAAATATAGCGAAGTTTAACATCGTTCAGTTGTAAAGAAAAATGCTGTAACTAAAGCAATTACACTTTCACAATATGAATAAAGGTACATACTATCCGGTACAACTAAAATAATCAAGGTTATCTATGTTATTTTCCGGCGAAAAGACAAAATGCGCGCGTGTTTTCCCATAGGAATGCACAGAATCACCGCCAAAGTAGACTGGTTGCTGTCTGCTTCAATTTGCCTCCCGGAAGTCGCATAGACACCAGCGCCGTTTTAACCTCTAGCGCGCATTATAATAATTCTATGAAACCAACCACCTGCATTGCATGACAAAGTTTTGCACACAGTTAATTTCGAGTGAATCATCACTACCCCACAAAACGACTACGAAAAATTGCTTTCGCTGTATTCAAGCTCGTCTGTGACTCACACGATTCGTGCTGTTCAATATCAGCAATTATATCTCGATATTCAGTAATATGACATGTTGAAAGTAATTTTCACAAGCAGTTAATACTTTATGTGAGCACTCCGGCTGTTGGATTGATGTTCAGCATAAATTCAACACGCACACATTTTCACAGTGAGTGACTTCGCGTACGAATAGTACGCTAAGGGGCTGACCTTGTTAGAAGTCCGTCCGGCCCCAGCCACGAATGTAGTTTCCTGTAGTTCATCGACTTCTTCAAGTTCGTATTGCTGGCTAAGAGAGGCTGTGGAGATAACATAATCGTGCTTAACGACATCTTACACAAACACACACACGCAAAATATACTTTGCACTTTTGCCAGGGAAAGTAGAATATGGCGTCGACACTCAATTCCATTTTTGTTTTTTGCTTCAGCGTTTCGTAGTGACGAAAAAAATAAGCGAAGTAAAACCTAACCGAGAAACGAGACCGGAAGTCCCAGAAGTCATTTAGATTTGTTCATTCCCTGCCACTATGAGTACAAAGGTCTTTTTTCTGAAGTATTGTGCTTTTGATGTTTCAGTTATTTTTGTTTTATGCTAAAGCAGACTATTCTAATTTACTGGAATATGCCTGAAAGGGCCTAATAATTCTCAGATATTACCCGTTTTAAATTGTCATCGCGCCCGTCTGAGAAAAAGAACTTATTTGCTTTTAAATTGATTTTATCTGAGGAAGCCCGGGTTTCATGAAAATAGATGTACTTTGAGGCGCCAATATTTCTCATTTATTAATGCGTCCTTGTCAATCGTCCTTTCGTACAAATCTAGGCGTACCTATTATCCTAACAAAAGCACTTTAGAATAATAATATTTTGTTAATTTCTGCGATAAATTGAAGCCATTTGAAATAAAGACGGCAAATGGTGGCAGCCGCCGATCAAAGGCGACTTCTAATGACATTTGAGCTTCCGTTCTTTTTATTTTATTATCTCATTAGTGCATCGGGCTATTCAGGGAGCAATTTGCAGCCACAAAATATTAGCGCATCATATTTTCATTCAATCAGGCAAAAACAAAATACAATACAATTCAATGTCTGGTGGCGACACAATATGTTGAAAACGCGCTGCCAGTGACGTTATCATCTCTGCGATTTGAATCTACCGTTCTTGCAGTGTGCTGTTCTCACCGACCACAGTAGCCTCCCCGTGTTTTTTTCTTTCTTTTTTTAATTTGCATGTTTGTGCACTTGGATGGTCGAGCTTCTACCTGGACGACCCTCTGGGAAGCTTCGTGAGCCTAAGGAGTCTGACTAGTTTTCACAGATAGCCGGCTAAAGATTGAAGCTCGGTGACGAACCGAAAGTGGGGCTAATTAGAATGCAGGACGACCCGTACGAAAATGTCAGATATGGCCCTGATATATTGTATATACGTTCAGATATGATAATATAAGCAGTCAAATAGGGCTGTATTTCGCCAGACATGGGGGTTAATACGGCCGTTTTTCGCCATATACGTGGGCAAATACTGCCAGATCTGGCCGTACAAGTGCGTAAATAAGCCATATATCACCATATACGCGTGCAAATATAGCGCCCCTGATAATGATATATGGGCCCGTTTCAGTCGTGCAAGCAACAAGTTATATTTTCTCGCTATGACACTAGTTGATTGATCTATATTGCATGGGTCTCATGTAATTGGTTAACTATTGTCTACATCCTTAAAAAGAAGTTATTCCAGGTATTTGGACAAATTAATCAATTGCGCAATTTAAAGATTGAAAGACAAATGAAATTTGGTTGTATGTTTGATGTGTGACAATATGACGAAGTGGGATCGGAACGCGAGTTAATCAAATAATGGATTTTAGTCGGAGCTCTTAGGCACCCGTTTCCGAGTTAAGCGGTGTTGGCGTCGCCATCGGTGTAACCGCCCCGCTAAATTTAGCGAGAGATTGAATCGGTACGTATGTCACGTGACGTCAATTTTCCCGCGAAATCTGGCAGTGAAACTAATTTTTTTTTCATGTTTCCCCGCTAAATTGAGCGGGTAAACACGAACCGTTAGCTTACTCAAGATGCAAGACGCTACTTCGCCGTCCCGAATCCTTTTCCCTTCGAACGGAAGCCGTTGCGCCCGCTAATACGCAGCTCTTTCAAAACCGCTCGCGCAGCATCGCATCCGTTCGTTTGCGAGCGATGGAGATTCATCGTGTGTTGAAAGTCGGAAGATGTGCTGTCCGTGGTGTCTTTTATGCATAGCTCGTTCGTAAAAAAATTTTAAACAGTGTACACGTGATTTTAAACCTATTAGTAAAAATATATTTATATACATATTTATTTATCTATTTATTTGTCGACATCATGCACAAAAAAAATAGTCGCGTTAATTTTTTCATTTAAAATTATAATGTAAAACAGCGTAAAACATAATATCTTGAAACTCGCATCGTTTTGAGTTCAAAAGCTAGACTTCATAGAGCTGTATGTTCACTCGGTATTGACAGCAGGGTAGACGCTACGCGTGTTTTAGGCCAATCGTGTCTCCGGTTAGGGTCACGTGACTACAGTCTAGAATCTGGTGACAAAGCAGGACATCGCACCTGCCTGGCGCCCAAGGTCACACACAGCATTCACAGCACTGTCAACCTTTGTTACAAGTGACACACCTCCTCGTTGTGGCCCCAAAAGATAAGCCTTTTGTTCGTGAAACCCCGTTTTGGCCTCTCCTTCGATCCTTTTCTCTCTCCCTAAGCTGAACGCGTTGTAAAAGGTGAGTGGTCACGTGGTTTGACGGATTGCGAATTAGCCGTTGCCGCTCTCGGAATGCGTTTAGCCGGACCTAGTTTGGCGTGTGAATTCTCCCTCTGTGGCAGATGCGTATGTCTGCTTCTGCAAGCGAGTTCTTCAAAGAAGCCCAAGAATTTTTTGTGATGCGTTTAGTGTTCGGTTTTACAAACGACAGCTTGTGCTACATCGTGTTGAATCTTCACGGGCACTTTCTCGTTTCTGTGTTCGAGTGGTGGTTTTGCCGTGGCCGTGTCGACATCTCCCTCGGACAACACCTTTCAAGTGGCGTCTTGTCAACGTAAGTGCGCTGCAGCCTATTTCGTGACAATTGATCGTTTTTCCTAAACGTATTCTTCCAGATTACCTCTAGATTTAGGCCGTGTCTATCTCCTGGCAGCCTGAAGAATCATTGTGCAGAATGTTTCGGCATTGGTGCGATTGCGCTACAAGCAGAAAGTTTCGACATGCGGCCGACAAAGTTTTGACGTGTCGCCAAAAAACAACCGCAGCACAGACTCTTAATTACGCGTTCCAAAATTTGACGAGCGGCTTTACGAGTCGCTTGTAGAAAGATTGTTACGATTTTGCGAAATACTGGTAAACAATGCTAGGTCATCCGCGGGCGTATCCCTCTCCTCCCGCTCGTACTTTCTCTAACTTGACGGACACTCTGCCTCGCGGTTTATGCCGACGAAACGATCGTCGGGATACCGGGTAATTGCTACAGCCGAGCGCAGCACAGTTTACCATTGCTCCCGCTGTGGAGGGTCGAAGAGTCAACTACCAGCACGGTAGATACCGTTTTTTTTTTGTTTTTTTTAAATTTATTTTTGCAGATTTGTTTTAAAAGAAGCCGTGAACGCTACACTTATGCGGTTTGTTCGAGAGTGATACGCCCAGGGGGATGTTATGTAGTTTGCTAATCTTTAAGATAAGTCGGCTAATTAAATAAAATTCATTAATTAACTTTTAATTAGTGAAAATAGACATATGGTTTCAATTAGAAACTTGCCGAGCGTCGTCCGAAACCCCTAAACCAGTAAATTTTACAAAGACTGAGCGCGTGTGAAGCGCAGTAGTGCACTGAAGTTACCACTCGTGGACCAGGTACAAGGCTGGGGCTAGATAAGAGACAGAAAAATTGAGCGGGCGCCTTACCGAGACCGCTAGCCCTGCTCCACGAGTAGTGGCTTTAGTGCGCTTCTCACGCGCTGAAAGACTTTCTGAAAATGACTGATTTTGGGATTTTGGACGACGCCCCGCTAGCTGCTTATTGGAACCGTATGTCTATTTTTGCTAATTGAAAAGTTCATTAGTGAATTTTAATTACTTAGCCGAGTAATCGCAAAGCTTAGCGCCCCCGTAATGTCCCCCTGGGCGTACAACTCACTCGCAGAAACCGCACAAGTGAAGCTTTCAGGACTTTTTTTATGAACAAATCTGCAAGAATAAAAAAAAAAGCACCCTGATATGGGAGGCAGATATACCCCTATTTGGCAGACCCAGATATGGATATATAAAAAATTGGGCAGATCTGCCGTATACAAGTGTTATATAAACCGATGTGCTTGATATGGCCAGATCTGCCCAATATTTTATATATCCATATATTTTTTTTTATATAAGTCCAGATCTGCCATTTTTATAAGGGGACACCGGATTATGAGTGATGTATGACGTATGCATGATCATGCTAGTCGTAGCGCCGGCAGACGTTCCCGCATTGCCAACTGTAAACATGGCGGTGTGCGATTAAAACAAAGTTGGAGTCCGGAATGTTTATTTGGAGTGCGCTATAATTCCGATCGCGTACACGGCGTTATCTAAGAATCATGCGCTCCCATCGATGTTATGCATAAATCAACGTAGAATGCTATTGCGAAATGCGAGTACAATGCGTACGTCCTAACCGGCCGGCGAAAAAAAAAACAGACGTGTCTTCATGATCACTTTTCTTTTTTCCGAAGAAAAGTCTTAGGCATTTGGTAAAAAAAGAAACTGCTTATTTGCACTCGCTATTTCCAGCATTTGCCTATTTTTCGAACCGATCGCGGCGTAACTCTGTGGTGCGAATCACTGCTTTGATCACGCCACCGCGCTTAAGGACGAGATGCTGACTCTAATGCCTTATCTGACCTTGCGTCATTTCAAAACCGAAGTGGTCAGCGCCACATGCTTTACACGTATGATGGACCAGGTCCGAAAGACAGATTTTTAAACTAGTTCAGCACTTACTGAAGGAATCCGTCCAGCGAAGGTTCCTTCGATTCCGAGGTGCAAAACCTCTTCGGAACCCAAAGGGTAAACTACTACCAGCGATATAATTAGTTTCGTATATTGTAATATACCTATATTGCCAGTTTATTTTATCTTATAATTATTCAACACGGTAATGTAATGAAACTACATCAATTTAGCAAAAAAATGTCGAAGCGTTCTAAACCTAGAAATGTATCAGGAACGCATCTCTTTGGCAACAATGAGACGTGACGGGAACGCGTTCCAAAGCTGAGAAGAAACGATAAACGAGCTTTCGTTCCACTTTTCGAGGAACGTGCGCAAAACTGATCCAGATACACCGAGGAAATTCTCCGTTCTTCAGCCCAGCCAACGAGAACGGCGAGCAGGACGCACGCCACCCCTCCTATATTGCTTGAACCTACTAAAGAAAGGGCCAATGATTGGGGTACCGTGTTTACCCTAAACCGGTAGATCTGCAGGAGCTCCGAGTTCTGGCTGAGTGAGTTTGCGGGATAATTTGTGAACTCCATCAGAGTGTAATTCGCCACCACCGGTTCTTTTCAGTTCTTAAGCTTGTAGTTTCGAGCACAAAACAATCATAGCGTCGGGTTCCCGTCTATTTTTTTTTTACGTATAATTGTTACCGGATTGTTTCGTAAAAAAGAATATTTTTTACCGGTCTACACAGAGCGCGTAAAAGAGAAACGCCTAACTTGGATCTAATACGGTTTTGCTTCAAAGCAAAGTCAGTGAAAAAATTAATTTTTTCGTTTAGTTTTCATGGGTTTTCTTTTTCTTGCAGCTTGCCACATAATTGCCAAAATGCCAGACATCAGCCAAAAAGCTCCACCTATCAACCGAACAACCGGCAGTGAAACTTAATTCTGGCACTTGTTTAGCAATCTAAACCCAACGCTGCCTTAAAAAAAAAATAAGGAAAAAATTAGAAATAAAGTTTAGCTTTGGCATTTGTTTGGTGATTTACGCACAAAGATGCCAGATGACCGTCCCGTACCAGGCAGTGAAGCCTAAAGCCGGGGACACACTAATTATACATAATACAAAAGGCAGTCCGCGAACACGAGTCACCTCAATATCCGTGGTTTGAATGCCCCGTGTCAAGTTGTTTCCTTGAGCTCATGGCCATGTGGAATTCGAAGCACGAATCTCGCGGTGACTTGTGTTCGAATTTGTATGCAGACTGTCTTTTGTATGATGGTATAAGCAGTGTGACCACGGCTTAAGTTTGACACTTGTTTTGGTGATTTAATGACAAGGTGTGTGTACTCGTGCAAAAGGAGGTCAAGCTTGGCTCTTCCTTGGCTTCTTTGTGCTTTTCAAGGCCCTGAATTTTCAAAAAAATACCATACTTTAGCCCAAAAATCTGCGCTATCTTTCACATAAGTGACAACACTTCAGCTCTCCTTTTGCTATGAGTGCGGTCTCCACAACCCCCCTTATATCTCGATTCGTCAATGAGTTCGCGCTGTGTCGTGAACTCAATGACTCACTGGAACATACTGGAACAAAAACTTTGAGTTTCAGCCCTAATGTGGACCAAAGCGTCCTTATTGACCGGCAGGTTTTCCAGATGAGCGTGCTTGATCTTTTCCTAAATCAGTGGCTCTCAAATGGGGGTCCGCGAAGGCATTCTAGAACTCCGCGAAGCCCCGCCTCGTCAGTAAAGCCCGGCGATAAAAGTTTTCTGTTTTCAGATCGAGAAGGAATGTTCAGTTTCCAGGCGAGTTTTCTCGTGGGTATGTCGATAAGAGAAATCTACTTCACACTAGCCCTTAGTCATATCCATTTATTAAATCATTATTGTAATTAACCTATACCTTTCACCTCCCTTCACCACAGACGGGGTCCTCCATCATTTCCGTCGATCCGCAAGGGGTCCGCAAAACTGTCCTAAATCATCATTCTTTCTTTTGTTTGGAAATAATGATGATTTAGGAAAAGATCATGGTCATGTGTGCGCTCCGCAGGCAAACATGACCATGATTATTTGCGTTGTTTATGCGGGTAATTGAGGATTTCGCCGGAAACCCGCTTCTTAATCAGATAATTGATATGAAGCAAAAGACGCTCGCCTTTCCGCGTCGCTATGCCATATTCCGTCATGCATGCATATTTCTCGCTTTATGGCCGCGCTAAGTGCCCACATAGAAAGCGTTAAAGAGAGGTATTTCGCCTTGCACCACCGGGGTTTGGAAGTTCGCCCGCGAGACTGCGGGTTCTTAATTTGTTTTTATAGTGATTACGCGGATGCACGCATACTTGCCTACAGCTTTTGTTGACGCGGCGAAACAGCGAGCAATTGGTGCATCGCGTGCGTACGTGGACAAGTCTTCCGGCAGCAAAAATAAATGGTCTAACTCTCTCCCCCTTTTTCCTTCGGGTGCTTTCCGTGTATATTTGCATATATACACTTTTTTTTTTTTTTCATTAAAGATGCATATGCCGACTGGAGCCTTAGGTCGTAATCTAAAAATAAGTGAGTGGTGTGAGTCTTTCTCTTGAAATTACATGTTATTCTTTCCCATTAAGGAAGGGTGAAAGGCTGTAATTTACCGGACAAAAGGCCTTGATTATGTCGCTCTCGCGGTGACGCGATTGCCTCGCCGAAAGTGCGGTGTTTTCTTTACTCTTTTTCTTTTTTTGCTTTTTTTGTTTGTTTTATTTGGACGCATAGACTCACCGCGGCTGCTTCTGGTGTGCACAGGAACACGATGGGGTTCACGCCGGCGTAAATCTTGAATATGCCCGCCTTTCGGTGCATCTCGCACAGGCCACGAATCCACTGAAAAAACTCTGCAATCAAAGACCAATATTTGTTTGAGCATCGCATCCGGCAAAGACACATTGCGGTACACTGTAAACAAATACCGTAAAGTCTTTATATGACAGTTATGCAGAGCTGAAAACACTTTAGATTTCACTGCACGGCACAGTTAGCGTGAAAATGGAATATTGGTACGTTTGCATAGTTTACTAAAGTAGCGCATTGACGATCACAAACGTTTACTATTTATGTTGGTTCAACGGGTGAACGCTTTGCAACACAACAGGGACGGTTTGCTCATCAATATGGGTATCTCTCCCGGCGGTTAATTCACCTGCAAGAGGGATTTAAAGGTCACGTGACCGGCTCCGTGGGGACAAGAAACCAAAGATACCCAGAATTCCAGGCAAATCGCTGCCGTAATTATGTCCTCGCTTCGAAAATTAGTCCAATTTTGGGCGCAGAAAATGGGTAAAGAGGCTTAAAATGCAAGTTAAATAAAGCACATCTGTGTACTTTAGGAGCCGCATGTAAAGTTATATCTGGGAAAAATCCAGAATTAAAAAAAAGAAAAAAAACAGAAAAACCACCAGGAAAGGTTTAAAGGGGTCATGAAACGATTTTCCTTCTTCTTCCTCCTGAGCTTTAATCCTCAACTCAAACGCGAATTGTGAAAAAACGTCGTCGTGACATTCTTCGGCACCGGTGCGATGACTCCTAGCTTCCACTGCGGCCTCCGAGATCCCGAAGCGCGCGAACGCTTCTCCGGCCGTCCCATTCGTGCGGAGAGGGCGTCATTGGAAAAAAAGAGAAGGAGACGGCGTGTCTCCGCGGGGAGGCGCAACCAACCCAGTCATCGACAGCATGGCGCGAGGCAGAAGAGTTCAAGAAGAGGTCTTGTTACGTCAAATTACTACAAATTATACTTACAAATTTTTTGTGTATTGTGGTAGAACGGTGAACATTGCTCTGGGGATGTAGATAGAAAATTTGTGATGGTTATTTAATTTGAGATATTTATCTCGACGTGATGCGGCTAGCGCTACAAGTGCGCCTTTTGATATATTTGATTGCAATCTGTAGCACGTAAAAAACAAAAACAAAAAATAGCTCCGCATATAAAAAAAATAGTATTTTCCTGAATAAAAATAATCCTGCTGCAACATTTTTTTCCCTTTTTTATTTTTTACCTTCGCACGTTGTCTGGCGTACCTTTCTGAGCCTCAAGAGGTTTGATACTATATAGTGAAGTCCGTGTTGTCCTTTTTTAATATTTTTGATATTTATTACGCAATTTTCGCTGGTCGTATTGCGGTGTTTGCCTCTACTAGAAGTACCTTTAAGCCGGGGTCACACTGATTAGGCATTATACAAAAGACAGCCTGCAGAAGTCACCGCGATATCCGTGGTTCAAATGCCGCGTGCCAAGTGTCTCCTTGAACTCATTGCCTTGCGGCAATCGAAGCTCAATAGACCGATCTCACCAAGCGTTCAGCGCATGCGTGACGCCGCCATAACTTTAGTTCACAGGAGGCGGGCTGCAGTGCACGAGAGGGCTTCTGCCGTCTGGTGCTCCTCACACGCAGAGCTCCAGCGAGGTTGTGGCACGTGCAGAAAGACTAAAGTTCCCTAGATGCATTGCGGCAGCGGTGGCGTAGTCAAACTGGCTGGTGAGATCGGTATATTATATCGAGGTGACTAGCGTTTGAATCAGTTTGCAGACTGTCTTTTGTATGATGTACGTTCAGCGTGACCCCGGCTTTGGGGAAAAACCTATGGCGGCGAGAAACAACCACCTCGCAATGATCTCTCCATTTTTGTTTATTAACTTTGCGATAATTGTAGTTACTGATTGAAAAGGTTGGGCATTATCTTGTGAACGTCTAGTCTTTGGCACATGTAGCACAGACCACCGTATCCCGTAATGCACTTTGTCATGTAACTTAATTGATATGCAAACAAACAATGGGATCTTAAGAAAAAAGAACTCTGGTTTATTTATAAACTTCAATCTTCTTCCAACCTGGTATATTTACAGATTCTAAAGCTTGATTATTAAGGTTAGACGCGAAGTACTTTGCGACGCAAGATGGCTTCAAGCAGTTTCTTTCGATACGCTACTCTGTCTTTCATAGCCATGCCTATGTTGACCAAGAACGGCCGTACAAACTTCTCTATAACAATCCTAGAATTTTTTGTTGTGTGGCATGGCAGCTCGTTTGCAACTGCTACACATAAGTTGATTACGATACCCAATTGTAAATACTGTAAGCATTTTTTTCTGCTATTATTAGTTGGACCAATCTGCAGGCCTAGGCAGCTCGTTAAGAAAAATCACCCAATCTTCATTTTCTGCGACCAAACACGCGCGGAAAGGACGGAAAAACAAAAATGACAAGCAGAAGTAAAGAAAACTACGTGTCAGAGTTAGAAAGGCAGGGAAACATCGCGACGGGTTTGTACAAAAGACGGGCAAAGTTCTAAATTAGCCACTCTAGCTGCGCACAACCGTAAAAAAAGGAAAAAAACAAAAAAAGAAACAATGTTGTTGTCTTTTGCGGTGGTCTGCGAGAAATTGTTAAGGAAAAGTACCCCTCAGGGGAACCTCGTTACCCCTATTGGGGATGCAAGCACTCGTCCGTACAGATGGTTTACGCCGGCGAGGGTACGAATTGTAAAGGCGCGTCTATGTGCGTGTTTGTGGTGAGAGGCGAATGTATGATGGCGGCGGCGCCGCCGGGGATGAAAAGGAACGCCGCACCGCTAGTCCTCTGGAAGAGCATTCGCTGCACTTTGCACACACCGAACCATACAAAAACATATACCCACATGCACATGCTTCAGCCTCTGTTCATCTCCCACTGTGCTTCCTCTCCCAACTCCCGAGCACATTTTTAAAAACAAGCCGCAAAAAAAAAAAAAAAAAAGTAATGGACGTTTTGGCTTGCTTGGGCCCCCCTTGTAGACTTGAATGCAAGGCCCGTACCCGGCCCGGGCCCTTCATGATTGTAAACGTCAAGCCCGAGCCGGGCCCGAGTGCCAGGCCGGCCCGTGGCCCGCGGTCGGGACCGTACCTGTGCAGATCCCTCCCTGCCACGCTGACGGCTAGCCCCTCTGTTATGACTGGGCAGGCAGCGCCGCCTCGCGGCGAGAGATGGAGTTAGCGCAATTACACTTTTCTGCTGGGAAGCAAGACGAATGGGACGGCCAGAGAAGCCTTCGCGCGCGCGCTTCGGGATCTCGGAGGCCATGCTTCCACCGTGCGCTTTATGTACACCATAGAGCTTGTCATTCGCCAGTGACGATAAGTTCCGTCAGGGTCACGAACGCGAATCCAAATATTCATTGGTCACGAACGCGAATCCAAATATTCGTCGACGGATCGATTGTTGACGAGCGCATACGTCCGAGTGACGCAGTTCTCGTGTCCAATGCGTGAGCTGGGCTCGGCTGACGTTAGGTTGGCACCGCTGAAGCGCTTTGGGTACCGCGGATGTGTCATAGTGAAAAGGCGGGGAGCTTTCGAAGGAAATGAGGTACAAAATAGTCCGCAATGTTTTCAAATGTTTGTACCGAAAAGCTGGCTTTTGACTTTCTACCCTCTTCCTTTTGGCCAACTGAACGATATGCGATTAGTAAAGTCCAATTTAAAATCATTTATCCCAGCCCAACAATCGTTTCATGGCCCCTTTAAGTCTGTTGCGCGAAATCGGCTGAAGCTCTAGGTGCTTTCTCTCAACGGAGCCGGTCGTGTGACCTTACAATTCCTCTTGCGAATCTGTTAACCACCGCGATGGATACCAGCTTTGATTAGCAAACCGGCCCAGTGGTTTTGATAATAGCATGTCAATTTCATGAGAGAACAAATAAAAGAAATTCACTGGATCGCGGATTTGCACTAAAAGTTTTGCCCAGTGTAGTTAACTAAAGTTCTTTTAAGTTACTAGGATCATCACTTTCCAAGTTTGAATGAAAGTTTCACTAACTTTAATCGTAACTGCGTTACATCTGGGCAATAACCTGCAACCTAGCTCAATTACTTCAAAATTATGATTACAAACGCGCGACTGCCGCATTGGTTTAGGCACTAAGTAACAGCTATGTACAGTTTCGTTCCCTCAATCTTTGCTAAGCGGAGTTTACTGAATGAAACAGAAACCCTGCCTATATCGCTTCCGGCTTGGAAACTGAATTGTAGGTTAACAGCCATGTTGCACCTCAACGTTATATAGTATATTAACCTAACGCAGTCACTATTTTGGTAACCAATATATGTCTAAATAAAACAAAAATGTAATTGTAGTTGTAACGTGGTTCTAAGTATAATTTATTTTATTTTTAAACACTGATATACTGTAGGAACCCTTAATATTATTCTTCATTATTGTAATGCTCTAATGTTATAATTTAATTTAGGTTTAATTGTCCCCTTAGCAGTTCTTCTTTATGCGAGCGCATCTGTCGATTTAGAAACATGACAGGATGCATCATGTGCGGTAGACACGTTGCAACGAATATCGCATTCATGTCGAAGCGAATATCGAAAAGTGTATTATTCGAAACTACTATTCGAAAACTCGAATATCACCACAGCCCTATTTGTCGCCTGATTGTTGTCATTAAAAAAGCTGTGCACCGATATTGGGTATGACTGTTTTTCACCTTACCCATCATTACTGGCTCTGTGACACTAGTATACTCGCACGCAACGATACTGACCAAGAAGCACCTCGCAGTGTAATTTCAAAACAAAAGAAAGATGGACTAGTTGGTACATTATTACGAAAATAAAAGCGCCAGAGAACTGTACAAGTCTCGCCTTTCTTGTCCCGCTTTTTGGCGCTTTCATCTTTGTAATTTCAAGGATAAGGTTTTACCTTTTCCTTCAGCCTCTCCGTTTCAAAACTGCATAACGTAGTTGCGGGAATCGCACTGTTTTCGTAGCCATGGTAATTACCCTATGATGACGATATTTATATCCAGCTTTTATTCGCACATGTTCGAATTTTGCATTCAAATCGTATATTAAAAATTCCAATAATTCGATATCAACTTTCAGATTCTACAGTTTCTGAACTTTT